AAAGAGGATCAGATCTTATGCATGGGTTAGAAGAGGCACCGAAGATCCCACCCCACGAATAAGCGTGCGCCTGGCTTAGCTGTACGTTCAAGAGTAACATGTTGTTTTTGTAACTCTGGTCAGGTTTCGAATGCATGGACAAACGGCCGGTATAGGTCGAGCTGCTGCTACATGAATCGTCAGAGACGTAGGTGGGCCAACAGGCTTGTGGGGTGAACAGCCCCACAGCTCTACCGGGTACGCCACCGGCGATGCCTCGGAACCAGTCTGGGAGCCCTTCTACACCCGGAAGCGGGGGTATGCAGCCGATACTAACCCTTCAACAGCTCACGGAAGGCGCGCTAACCCCGCGTCAGCCAGTGGTCCACGACACAGGAGGAGAATCCACAAGTGAACGTCCACGGAGCGGGAGCAGGAGACAGGGTAACCTAACCACCGAGGCGCACACCCCCATCGCCGCGACAAAGCGCGACGCGGGAGATTCCGGTGCACGTATCCGTCGAACGGGAGGAAAGCCCCGGTCGGGCATGAAACGGAGGAGGAAGAGGAGGCCCTCTGCTAGTGTCACGGTTGGGTGCCTACCCAACCTCGAGAGCAAGCTCGAGGAGGAGGACTACTACAAGCAGCAGAGCAAGGCCAGGAGAGAGGCCACGGCTCGTAGAGATCGCGCGATTGCCGAAGACGAACGGCGACGATCAGAGGCCGGGGGAAATCACCCCGTTGAATACTCGGCGTAGGAGCCACGGCGGGAACCCAAGACAAACCAGTCATCTGCCAAGCAAGCGGAATGCGTGTAGGAGACTTTCTGCCCCGGCGATGCTACCTGTAGGCCAACCAACAGGCAAGAAGAAAAAAAAGGCGTGCGGCCGTCAGGAATGCAGTTGGGTTACACACTACCCTGGCACCGAGTAAAGCACATGCCCCGGGAGTGTAGTGCACTCGGCCGACGAGAGACTATGTTCGGCATGCCAGGTTTCCAGACGACGAAGGTTTCACGCACCTCCGCGCGGACCAGTTAGGGCGAGCTGTAACCTTCGTTGCCGCGTTGAGACAAGGAGAGAAACCCCTGCCTCTAGCTCTCGTGCGAGACTTTAGTCCTAGCAAGGACTGCCTCTGCTAACGCCCAGACTGCTTCCTAGCTATTTTCGCCGAGAAAGAAAGGAAGGCAGAGTTTCGCCAATGCAGTAAATGCAAGCACCGGAAATCGGACAGGAGCCGCGTAAGGTGGTATCCCATGGATGCTGCACGAGATCATGTCGCGGAGGGTAATGCGATGGTGAGTGATGGTGATTGGTGGTGCGGCCGTTGCTACCAGAGCCAGTTGAACGGCATGAAGAGAGACGACAAACCGACAGAGCAACCAGCGAACAGGCCATGTGGATCGGGGGACGAGGCGCCGCTTCTAGAGCCGGTGCGCAGGATGGTGGATGACGTCCTCGGTCGAGGTGAGATCCTTTGCTGGCAGGACGTCGCCGGTTGGCTAGCTGCTGAACACGCGAAGGTTGGCATGGAGGAGATAACGAGGAAGTACGCACGACAACTCGTCCTGGACTTGTTTACCGGGATGGACGCAGACCCCGGGAGCAAATCACGATTGGTCCAAGCCGACGGAGCGCAAGGAGACGCACGCGAGCGGGAACTCTTCCTCTTCCCGAACACCCTTGGGGACAAGCATCTCGTTGACTTAATGCTGCGTGCTCGACGTAGTGCACCCGCACAGCCTCCATCCAACCAGCTAGCTGATGAGGGTGGGTCTCTCTAGTCGATTCTGAAGGAAGTCGAGAAAGACACGGAGGACGCAGACAAACGGATGTCCGTCGTGCGGGCAGCTGGTAGAATTGTTCGAGCCGACGTGGAGAGTGACCCCGCCCTGAAGAACCCACCGGCACACGCGAGAAGTATCGCTACGCCGATGAGTTGGACATGAAAGTGAAGCCACCCAGAGAGAATCTACTATCCGCGTTTCCGCCGTCCTTGGTTGGATTGTACCAAAGCATGACGGAAATGGCACTGTATCGCGAGATCATCGCATCAGAGACCGAACATCCTGGAGAGCCCTGGGTATGGCAGACCGAAGGGCGAGACGGACGGCATCCTACCACCTCGGGTGACTTGGAGAGCGAGAACGGTGATGGAGAAAAGAAGAGTGAGGTCAGTCAACCAGCAGTGACGGTGTCGTTAGGGCCACGAACAGAGGAACAGGCCAGGCATATCGGCAGCCTCAACCGTGACAGGCGATCCGCGCATCGTAGGCTTCTGGTGATGTGTACGGTCATGTTGAAGGCAATTTTGCGTGGTCAGTACATGTGTTCGCACGACATCAAAGGGACTCAGTGGGCAAAGTCTAAGGGTACGTGTCGCGATGTGATCAACTTTGTAGCGGAGCACGGTTTGTGGGCGACGATGTCGCAAATTTAGCACCGAGAAGACTATCACGCGAGGTTCGTAGAGGACAAGGACCTCCTGAGCCCTGACGCCGAGTGCGCCGCCATTCCCCTGGACAACTGTGATTTTGACCCGAGCGTCGGAGTTGGCCAGGGGGAGGGGCTTCATCTTCCCTTCATCGCTGCAACGGCTTTAACGGTAGGGCCCGACGTAGGTCANCGTGTCGCGATGTGATCAACTTTGTAGCGGAGCACGGTTTGTGGGCGACGATGTCGCAAATTTAGCACCGAGAAGACTATCACGCGAGGTTCGTAGAGGACAAGGACCTCCTGAGCCCTGACGCCGAGTGCGCCGCCATTCCCCTGGACAACTGTGATTTTGACCCGAGCGTCGGAGTTGGCCAGGGGGAGGGGCTTCATCTTCCCTTCATCGCTGCAACGGCTTTAACGGTAGGGCCCGACGTAGGTCAAATGGACGACTGGTGGTTGGTAAAGAGCCGGGGATCTCTTACGGTAGAGGACCTCCTGATGGGGCCGGAGCGGGACCGGGGGGACGGAGCGCGGCGGTGTAACGAGTTTTCGGCCGAGCTCTACCGCGGCGTATTCGCTGAGGCACGGAACAACTTCGACAGGGCTGCGGCAGACACATGCTTCGAGTCTGAACTCCGCAACGTAAGACACCATTTTTTGTACTTTCTCCCTCCTTGCTTTCTGGTTTTTCCACGACCTATCCCATCTGACCGGACATATACCACCCAATTATATATGGCGTTCTTCAAGTCGAAAGTCGCGCCCTCCACACTGTTCCTGTGGATGAACAGAGTGTTCGCCAGCATCTGCGGACTTCAGGATGGAAGCGAGTCCGCGTGGCCGCCATTGATCTTCAGGGGCTGGATTCCCACGGACAACGACAAGGTCCGTCTGTTCGTCCTAACGTTCCTGGAGTCGGGCTGTGACTACCTCCCGTCAATTTCCGGGCTGCCGTTCGACAAGATGTGGGTACTGGCCCTCAAGAGCGTGCGAACGGAGGGTTTGTTTGACAAGCCGCTGTTCTTCGAGGAGCAGGGTGGCACGTGGGCCGTGGAAGTCGACGAATGTTCGAAGCTTTTGGGCGACCATGTTCTTCTACAAGGATGAAGCGGCGTTTGGCACTGCCCATTTGACTCCAGCCCAGCTGGTCGAAAGCATTGACGGCGACGTCGAGAGCTACGTGGACGTGATCCTCTACGCCATCCTCCAACTCCCCAAGAAGGAGACGACAGCCACCTGTCCGTTGTTTTTTTCCTTGCGCAAGCAGGCAGAACGAGATAACGCCATCTTTCGGTACTGGCAGAATGGCCTGAGGTAGACCATGCCGGTGACAGAGTTTGCCCGCAAAGGATAGAGCGTCGACCCACGAGGAAAGGGGAGCGACGGCGACGAATTCACAAAGGAGAACTGCGTGCTTGACCTGTCCGAGTATGCTTACATCGCCCCTGACCGAAAGACAGTCACGCTAGCGTGTGGTTGCAATCCGGACACGGTATTACGGTTCGGGGCATTCATTGTTCCGCAAGTACACCCCCACAGAGGTAGTTGGCCGCATTCAGCGGAGCCTCTGCAAGAGCTGTCTGGACTCGCCCTCCTCTGCTCACAACCAAGCTACCATCCTGAGATTGAACTAAAAGAATAAGACCACAACATCCACAAGGAGGAACTTGCTCCGACGCTACATCGGCTACTATACTACAGCTGGTACGAGTATCTTCACTACTCATCGCACTCGGTACAGTCGTTCGATTGCACAAAGAGAGGTCAGTGTGTGTGCATGGTTGCATAAGCGAACTCCTTTCAGGAGCCATAATCCCCTTTCTCGCGCTAGAAACCGTGCCTCGAACGGGAGCTGTACGTACTTGCTGCTTACACACTTGAGACCTCTACCCTGCGTGCTAGCGACTCGTGACATGGTGTGCAATTGGTGAGCACGCGCTCGCGCCGCGCGTGTGAGTTCTGTTGTTACATGCTTGTATACCTTTGCCGCTCTGCTGCTTCGCTGTGTCCCTTACAACACCACGGCCANCACTCGGTACAGTCGTTCGATTGCACAAAGAGAGGTCAGTGTGTGTGCATGGTTGCATAAGCGAACTCCTTTCAGGAGCCATAATCCCCTTTCTCGCGCTAGAAACCGTGCCTCGAACGGGAGCTGTACGTACTTGCTGCTTACACACTTGAGACCTCTACCCTGCGTGCTAGCGACTCGTGACATGGTGTGCAATTGGTGAGCACGCGCTCGCGCCGCGCGTGTGAGTTCTGTTGTTACATGCTTGTATACCTTTGCCGCTCTGCTGCTTCGCTGTGTCCCTTACAACACCACGGCCACTGTGGCCGATCCATGAAATTCCTGTTGTCAAAATCCATTGCACAAAGAGAGCCATGCTTCCATGCGTGTAAGCACGCGCGCGATGTGTTTCTCGGCGTGTGATCAAGCACTCGCTTGCGAGTGTACGCTGCTGTGTCCCAGTGTTCGTTTTGGCCATACCAACGATTTTGGCGGGCTGGCATACATAAATGGTGCGTCACCGTGCCGGTGCCTCTACAAAAGCTCATTTGCACGCATTGATTGCGCATCACCGGGGTGAAAGTTCCCGGGATGCCCGCTTGTGATTCTAATGCGGCCCCAGCTGTACGCTTTCTCCATTGGACGGCCATAGGTGGGAAGTACTCGAACACACATCCTGCTCGCCTCACCCGTCTTCACCGTTGCCGCCTACTCGAAAAAGCCAACAATTGATGAAAAGAGCGAAAAGAGACTGAGCGTGATCGCATGGACAGACGGGGCAGCCAGCAGTTGTTTTGTGTGTCGCAGTCTCCCAGGCCAGGTGTTCCCGTTTGCTCTCGATGCCCGTACGCCGTCCGTCCGCTGTGGTTTGCGTGCACACCCGTTTGCTCGTGCGTGCTTTCCTAGACTATTCTAGTATTGACCACATCTATCTATCATTCATTGTTCCTTCTGAAGACCCTGTGTTTTTTAACACGCGTGTTTTGTGTTTATTACCACGCGTTGTGTTTTTTACACGCGTTGTACGACGATCAGGTCGAGTGATGATGTTGTACCATGTAGATTGGTTAATTCGTTACATCTATCATTACTCAGTCTGAAAACTCCTGTGTTTCTTAACACGCGTGTTTGTGTTTATTAACACGCGTTGTACGACGATCAGGCCGTGTTTTTTTACACGCCTTGTGTTTTTTAACACGCGTTGTACGACGATCAGGTCGAGTGATGATGTTGTACCATGTAGGTTAACTCGTTACATCTATCATTACTCCGTCCGAAGACTCCGTGTTTTTTTGACACGCGTTGTACGATAAACAGGCGGAGTTGATGAAGTTGTACAATTGCACCAGGTAGGTTAACTCCGATAAATGCGTCTCCTATATTTTTTCATTAGTTTTTTTTTTTTCCTTCTGTGGAAACCCGAGTGCGATTCTCGGATTGGACGCCACTCTCCTTTTTTTCCTTTCCTTTTTTTTTCCCTTTTATTATTTGTGTATTTCATTTTTTTTCTCTTTTTTCTTTCCCTCTCTTTTATTTATATTATGATTTTATTTTCTCCTTTTTTTTTCCGTTTTTCCTCCACTTATTATTTATTGTACTTAGTATGATATATACTTTTTGTTCTCCTTCTCCATTATTATTTTTTTTTCTCTTGATTCCTCCTTCCATTATTATATTTTTATTATTTTTATTATTGTTTTCTCTCTCCTCCTTTCTTGTATTTTATCTTTTATTTCCCTTTTGTTGTTTTTTTGTTTGTACTTTTATTGGTTTACCCCTCCTTGTTTGGTTTTGCTTTTGCTCGGTCCCATGTAGAGGTGCCCAGTAGGTGACCGATTGCCCTATGCGTATCCCGTGGCTGGTTCCTGCCCTGACCTTACGTTAATTCCTCCGGTTTTGTCCCTTGTCTGTCGTCACTTCTTCCTCCAGTTGGCGAACATTGCAAATGCTACCCGACCAGGATGAAAACATTAAGCTGTCCCCTACTGCGCTGCACAAAGTTTCACTAACCGATTCTTAGACTTAATGTTTTTGCACATTTGTCAGCTGCGTCTTGTAGCAACATGTTTTATTGTTTTTATTTACATGCGGCATGTCTGAATGGTGTCGCCACACAATTCTCGCCCATAGGCCAAAATTGCCAAGTAAGACCTTTCGTTTTTGTCCTCACTCTCTCCCGTACCTGTTCTACCTTTTGCTTCCTGTGCTGCCTTTTTCGAGTCCTGTTGCCCTGAGCCGGTTACGTTTTGTGCGCCGATCGCGATGTGTTAACCTTCCTTTCCGCTGTTCTCTGCGCCGCTCGGCGCTCTGCTGTCTTCCTTTTGCTCCTTGGATTGCCTCCTGTATTTGGCTCTGACCAGGTGGCGCCTTGTGCGTCGGTCGCTTTGTGTTGACTTCCCCTCGGACCCGGTTGCACCTTTCGCTGCAAGCTGCGGTTGCAGTTTCTGCGCCTTTCGCGGCATGTTGACTTTCCTTTTGTGCTCTTTGTCGCTCTTCACGCGTTTCTGAAGTATGCTGGGTGCGTACGGCGCAACTCGTACGCCGCGTACAGGGCGTTGTTGTGCATCTTGTAACACCTTTTAACGTTTGCTTCCCTTCTATCCCTCAATTTTCTTGGCTGTTGTTAGCTGTGCGCCTGGTATGTGCGCCCCGCCGCGCGTTGTTGTGTGGTTTTGCGATGCACTTGGTGGGTGCGTCCGTCCTTCTAGGCCCTATTTATCATTTGTTTATTCTTATTTATTTGTCTCCCTTTATCTAATCGCTGTGAGCGCGTTTTATCTGTACGCCGTCGCTGCCGGTTGTGCGCGGTTGCGCTTTGTGAATCCGGTGCGCCTTGCGTCGGCCGCTGGGCTGCCAAGCGTGCGAACGTCGCTGCTGTGCGTCTGCTACTTTTGATCGAAGCCGGCCCAACCCGAGCGCGCCATGTTCGCCGACGGGGGGGGAGGTGCTTTCAGCACGGGGGTAGTTGCCCCTAAACGCGGCAGTGGACACAGGGTCCACGGCGAGTGGTCCACCGGGCGCTATGCGTGCCGAAGGGCCCGGATTTGCTCGTTCGACGCCAGCAGGAGGATACCGTTTGGGGTCAGGTTCGGGAGGATCTAGAGAAGGGTGCAGCTCAGGTTACAGTGTGGATGGTAGGGGAGTTCTAAGTTATGAGGTTGAGAGCTGCAAGCCCAAGCTTCTGACGTCAACCCCCAAAAGCATGGCGGCCAATAATCCACACATGACATGAACTACAAGAGTCAGACTACCATTGTCACAAATTCGTGATTACTTCATTGGCCCGAACCCGATTCGGCCGCTCTTGCGACTTTGGCCAGAGCCACTGCACCTTGAATGCTCCTTTCGACGCTTTGGGAGGAAACGCACGTTTCACGTCGTGATGTTATTTTTCTTTGCTTTCTTGCCACCCGTGTTTGTGTGTTGTGTGTGTGTTTTCGTCCTAATTATTACGGCGACAGTCCCGCCACTTTTCGTGGGGGGGATATCACGTGACCGTCGCAGCACAGTTTCCCGGGGACCGCGGAGTACTGCTTTCCGCAAGGGGGGAGGTGCCGCGGCCAGAAGCACGGGTTTCTGAGGGCATGTCGGGCACTATCGAAGAGCGAGGGGATTATCCGGCACGGCCCCCGTACGCATTAGCAGCGCTTGTCGTGCCAACGGAGATCCAAAAGAGATCTCTCGCGCGGGCAGCTGCTAGACCGTGAGGTCGGTCTGAAACGCCGGTCGAATCTCCCACGCGCGTCATGCCCCACGAACTATTCCATCACTCGTGCTTCCGATTCGGCTGCCTCGCAACCATCCCATGCTCGCAAACACAAGGTTCACACACCGACGAATGTTCAAAAGCGCAGACTGAGTTTGATCAACCAGCCAACTCTTAGCACTAACAACTTTCCTAACGCGCTTCTTCCGTTGTCTGCTGTCTGTGTCGCTGCGAATATTCAATGAGCACGCACATTGTGTGTGACTAGCTTATTGACACAACCGCCTACATAACTCTCCTAACACTACCAACTTCACGCTCGCGTTTTCTTCCGTTGTCTGCTGTGTCTGTGTCGCTGCGAATATTCATTGAGCACGCACATTGTGTGTGACCAGCTTACTGACACAACCGGCTAACTCTAGCACTAACCCCTTCCCTCTCACGTTTCTTCCGGTGTCTGCTGTGTCTGTCACTGCGAATATTCAATGATAGCGCACATTGTGGGTGACCAGCTTACTGACACAACCGGCTAACTCTAGCACTAACCCCTTCCCTCTCACGTTTCTTCCGGTGTCTGCTGTGTCTGTCGCTGCGAATATTCAATGATAGCGCACATTGTGGGTGACCAGCGTACTGACACAACCCATGCGCTTGCCCGCAGCTTACCATTTGTTTTGCGCGAGTACCGTCCCAAGCACTGCGCGTGTGTGTCCAATCATGTGGCACGCGTAGTCCGTTTTCCATCCTGCGAAAATAGTATGCTATCGTCCAGTTGTTTTCCTGTAGTTGTGGGTGTATCGGGTACTTCACGCCATTGCATGGGCGGGAGTTCCTCCTACGTTCGAAGTACGTCACGGGACNATGCGCTTGCCCGCTGCTTACCGTTTGTTTTGCTCGAGTACCCTCCCACGCACTGCGCGTGTGTGTCCAATCATGTGGCACGCGTAGTCCGTTTTCAATCCTGCAAAAATAGCATGCTATCGTCCAGTTGTTTTCCAGTAGTTGTGAGTGTATCGGGTACTCCACGCCATGGCATGGGCGGGAGTTTCTCCTACGTTCGAAGTACGTCGCGGGAGTACCATGTATTGCTGCAAACACCCTCTGGATGTCTTCAGCAAGGGGGGATCTCCCGCGGCGTAATATCACTTCTCCGACACCGTGAATTATTGCCTTCCGAAGGGGGGAGGTTATGATGAGTCTCGTTGGACAGGGAACAGCAGCTTAGCCTTGGTGCGAGAGATCAGCAACAACAGCCACCGCCACACGAAGCGAAGTACCCAAGAAAATGTCGCGTGTTAGAAAGTAACCAGTTTGCTGTAGATATCAAGTATTTGCTTGTTGCTCCATCAAGACCACTTATTCCTCGTGCCGAAAGCCGTAGAACCGTCACGACGTTAAACGTTTGTTGCGTGGTTTCGCATTCACCATATCAATAGAGTGGACCGAACAGGCAATCTTCGCCTCTACACCAGATTGTCGCCGAGTGCATTCATCTTTTGACTCTTTGGTGTGGGAGTGTAAAGCTATCCCCCGAACTGGTGTAGAAGTGCGATTGGATGCCTACATTGCGCGTGACATCTGCCCTACCCGGAACTAGCTTCCCAGCGTACTCGCCACACCACGTATTAGCTTCCCAGCACACTCACCGCACCACCGCGTGTGCCGTCGTCCGTCCGTGAAACTCGGAGTATCTCCCTTTAGGTTTCACCTTCCGAAGACTAAAGCAGAAGGCTGAAGCTTCAGGGACAGGAGTTGTCGAGACCGTTACTGACAGGTGCGCGGCAGCACCCAGAACTGGAGGACATGGCGTCGCACCCCAGGACTCATTTGCTGCGTGGGCCGTCTTAGTCGCACCCCAGGACTCATTTGTTGCGTTGATGTCATGGTGGGGGGAAGTTAGCCAGTGGCGGTATGTCGGTCTATTCCACTGGCATGGAGATCGCTCTCCATGCCAACAACTTCACGAGAGGGCTANGTCATGATTGTGATCACACTTATAGCCAGTGGCGGTATGTCGGTCTATTCCACTGGCATGGAGATCGCTCTCCATGCCAACAACTTCACGAGAGGGCTACGTCGAAAGTTTGTCCCTCAGAGAAAAGAGAGAGACGAGATGGCGGCGTGAAGTATCGGGTGGATAGTTCCCTTTCGAGGCATATCGGTTGATGGAGAACCTCGGAGTTCTATCATTCCTCTGGTTAAAAGTTCCGGATGAGGCGTTAGTATATTATGAGTTGATAATACACTAGGGGGGATGTTACGGTTCGGGGCATTCATTGTTCCGCAATTACACCCCCACAGAGGTAGTTGGCCGCATTCAGCGGAGCCTCTGCAAGAGCTGTCTGGACTCGCCCTCCTCTGCTCACAATCAAGCTACCATCCTGAGCTTGAACTAAAAGAATAAGACCACAACATCCACAAGGAGGAACTTGCTCCGACGCTACATCGGCTACTACATTACAGCTGGTACGAGTATCTTCACTAGTCATCGCACTCGGTACAGTCGTTCGATTGCACAAAGAGAGGTCAGTGTGTGTGCATCGTTGCATGAGCGAATACCTTTCAGGAGCCATAATCCCCTTTCTCGCGCTAGAAACCGCGCCGTGAACCGGAGCTGTACGTACTTACTGCTTACACACTTGAGACCTCTACCCTGCGTGCTAGCGACTCGTGACAACGGCCCTGTGCAACAGGTGCAGGTGCATGAACAAGAAGTGCTCGCTCGCTTGCGGCTGCATNGAGCGAATACCTTTCAGGAGCCATAATCCCCTTTCTCGCGCTAGAAACCGCGCCGTGAACCGGAGCTGTACGTACTTACTGCTTACACACTTGAGACCTCTACCCTGCGTGCTAGCGACTCGTGACAACGGCCCTGTGCAACAGGTGCAGGTGCATGAACAAGAAGTGCTCGCTCGCTTGCGGCTGCATAAATCGTTGCACCCTACGGCGGGCGGTGCCGGCACCCGTGCGAGCAGGGGGGAGGTCTGCGTCACGGCCTATGGTGGGTGCTCCTCAAACGAGGCGGGTAGAGGGTACCTCCCGACCCCAACCGCCCACCGCGAGGCGATCACGGCCATCCTACAGTGTTGCCAATGCCATGGCACTATTTACCGCCTCTATGAGGCGGCAGGTATCGCACGGAGCGGAACAGAACGACGTGGAGGCAGGAACCCCCGAGTCGCCTGCGAGCAACGACGTTTCCGCCGGCGAGGCTGCGGAATCTAAGAACCCAGAGTTGGAGGACCCCGAGTCGGACGAAAAGTGCGACGGTTCGGTCGGTGCACCCGACGATTTGATCAAGTTCGATTCGAGCGAATCTGGCTCCAGCGATGGGGAATGTGACGGGGTGAGCGAGAAGAGCGTCGACTCCAACTGGAGTGGCGGAGACACAGATGATGGTGTTGGGGATCTCGTAACCGACGCCTGAAACTGAGATCTGGCTACTTCTTCAGGCAGGTACACATATCGTTCCTTGGGATCGGGGTTGGGGATGTCGTGCCCGCCATTATTGCACGTCAGATCTCCACGTCGTACCGAAAGATCGTGTGGTCTGATTCATGCTTACTCCATGTTTCAATGACATACTTCGCGCGTCCGTGTTGATGGTTGAACAGGTCCGACCGAGCTTCACTTCCGTTGGATGCATCCATCCACGAAATACGACGACCCCGGGGTACGAGATATCAGACCGACGAACTTTAGCCTATTACTGTGCCGGCTAGGGCGCGCGTTTCCGCCCGCGGCGAATTTTCGTTCCTAGTTGCGCACGTAGTTGCGCAGGGAGGTGGACCG